GCTGGCCCAGGCAGGCAGGTTGCACGCCCCCTCCTGGACACCAGAAACATCTACAGCCTTGCTTTTCCTAAACAATTTACGCAGCATTTTCCCTAGCACAAGCAGAAAACACTACAGAACTGTTACAACTGGGTTTAGTACAAATCCTGGCCAACAAGCCCCAAAACTTGATTTAGTACAAAACCTAAAGACAAGTCTGTTTCGTTGAGTGCACTGTAATCCCGGACCGAGCCCCCAAATGTAATGCTCTGGACTACAAATCCCAGAGATGTCAAGCTTATCCCAAGGATGAGCCCAGCTGTAAAGCTTGGCAAAACTTTAATTTCTATTTGATGTCTGTTCTTGAAGTAAAGCTTCAAGGAAACTGACACAGTAGCATTTAAAAGTACTTTACTTCGCGAAAATGCTGCGTGTACAAACTTAGTTACAGGAAAAAAACAAATACATAAACAAGACAAGCTGCTACAAACATTCACATGCACCCACTACATTATCTTCTAGTACATGTATGATTTCTATGAGGGGAAACACTGAAAAATGTACTTAGCTCCGGCTGCAGGCTCCACAAATTCCGTGATGAACAGGACTTCTTGGCCTAGGAAAATGGATTCTCGTTGCAGTCTCTGCTAAATCCTTTGTCTTAGAGTGATGTCCTGGTCTTGAAGCAAGTCCTCTCGTCTTGTGAAGCCTCGTACTGTCCCCCTCCTGTGAAGCCCTCGTCTTGTGAAGTGCTCGAACCTTTCACCTACTGGCTTTTTATTGAGGGAAATGGGCCTCACACTTGGAAGCGCCGCCCCTTTCGCTTTTAGGAAAATGAAATACCATGCATTTCACAGTCCCACCTCTAGGTGGCAGTGTTGTATCATAAATTGCCATCAGTAGTCCTGATTTGATTTGAGTCTTGACCAGGCTAGGTGTGACTGTTTACGCAAAAATGACCCATATCACCATCCCATTGTGATACGAATAATGGGGGGAAACAATACAGGACAAGCCACACCATTGTGAAAAACCAGTTTGGTCTGTTTAGATGGCACCTTCCATTGTGTGAACCCAGCTCTCTATCAACAAACAAACAAAACCTCCGTCTCTATTGCAAATCTATGCGTGTCTGAAAAAGTCCACTAAGAGATATCGCAACACAAGGACTGACCTGGCATTAGCCTTTCCTAGCCTCCTCCCTATAGTTACTAATGCAGTTTTCCTCCCTTGATTGGCTTCTGACCACAGTTCTCTCTTACTATCTATAGACTAGGGCCAATTGCCTCCCTTTTCATTTTGGAAATTTAATACTTTTTGGTTCTGCCTATTTCCAGAGGATTTGAATCTGTACCCCCCAGTGGTCGTTATTTCTTTTTTCTCAATGCTAACTCGCGGATGCTTTTGTAGTCTGAGAGGCCTTTAAGAGGTTCTTCAAAGGTGTTCTACTTTCTACGGTTTCTCAAATTAATAATCAACCCCGCAATAAAATTTGTGATTTTGACATATTAAGTGTGCCAGGCTGAGCCAATTTATATATCTGATCCCTCTGCTTTTAACAGGTCACATTGGTGGGAGTCCCATAGACAACCTGAGTTATTATGTAAAGAACGCACCCGCAGTAAACTTCTTCTCCAAACAGTCACTTGTTGAGCAAAGGGGCAGATCCAGCTACATAGTTACATAGTTAGTCAGGTTGAAAAAAGACACATGTCCATCGAGTTCAACCTATAGAGATATGGAAAAAAAAGAAGCTTAAACTGAACGCTATACCCACAATTACCCACTGTTGATCCAGAGGAAGGCAAAACAACCCTTTTTAAAGCATTGTTCAACTTGCTCCAACGGGGGAAAAAATTCCTTCCTGATCCCAAAAGGCAATCGGATATTCCCTGGATCAACAATCTCTGATGCTTAATATACATATAAGAACTCAATATCCTCTGTGCCTCTTATGAGTTTAGTCGCCCTTCGCTGTACTTTCTCCAGTTCCACAACATCCTTTTTGTGAATTGGTGCCCAAAACCGAACTGCATATTCCAGATGAGGTCTTACTAATGCTTTGTACAGTGGCAGGATGATGTCTCTATCTCTTGAATCTATACCCCTTTTAATACAAGAAAGTATTTTGCTTGCTTTAGAAACTACAGCTTGACATTGCATGCTATTATTCAGTCTATGGTCTACCAGAACACCCAGATCTTTCTCCATCATTGACTCCTACACACATACTCCCCCTAAAGTGTATGGCACATGCATGTTTTTAGTCCCCAAGTGTATAACTTTACATTTATCAACATTACAACATTAAACCTAATTTGCCAAATAGATGCCCAATCACACAGTGCATTCAGATCTGCTTGTAGGTTGGAGACATCCTGTAAGGACTGTATTCCACTACATAACATGGTGTCATCTGCAAACACATAAATAGTACTTTTAATCCCCAACTCTATGACATTTATAAATAGATTAAACAATAAGGGACCCAGCACTGAACCTTGGGGCACACCACTAAAAGACCATTCAGAGTATGAATCATTGATCACCACTCTCTGAATACGGTCTTTAACCAGTTGACATCCGCGGAAACTATGTCAAACGCTTTTGCAAAGGCTACATGTTAGCCTATCTGGCTTAGCAGCAATCCTGCATAACCTCATGTGATCTGTCTGTCCCTCTTGTCCCTGAGGCATATGTATTGGGTATTTTGAAATACTTACCCTTGTCTCCTGCGAAGTTCACACCCCTCCACAAATTCCCACCCTCCACAAATTATTAAGCCCTTTAAGTGATTGTTCTTCGTTGGGTGTCTTTTACCTGCCCCTGTTTGTATCATTGCAAGAGGCTTCTAAATTATGTACTACCTTATTAAAAAATCTGGTCTATGCACACAGAGGTTAACCAGCCCATTACGATAAAGTGTGGATTCCTTGACGCTCTTAAAAACCTTTGACAAATCTATTAGTCTTGATGTTGTTCCCGATGATCCTTCTCCTCTGGTCCCTATGGGATTGCAAATTGACAGCAGGCAATTGAGTTAAGCTAAATGTCGTTTTTTGTTTTTGTTTTTTTTTAGTTAGTTGCTTTGCTACTTGACTTCACTGTTTTTTCTTTTGCCGATTTTTACACTCTCTTAGGTTTATTGAGACATGATTTGTTACAAATGTTACTATGCTACAGATCTCTATACAGTAGAGATCCATACTGAGTCACTACTATAGCTGTATATGTACTGTGTCTATTAGTGTTATGTGTGCCTTATTCTGTAATGTTTATTGTATTTGCTTAATAAATGTTGTTGTTTTTTTTTGGGGGGGGGGGGATATGGGGAGAAAAGTTCACCCCCATCATGGTGGATTTTATAGGGAAAATGGCTGATCTCTTTGATTCATCTGGCTGTATGGGCTGCAGGCCCTTAGAGACCTCCTCCTCCTGCATTCACACTACTTGAAGAAGAGGGAGAAAAATTAACTGTTTTCAGGAGTCCTCTCATGAAAAGGACATGTCTCCTGACATTTCACCTATGCTAAAGGACACTGTTTCTGTCCTTTTGGACGCAGTTCACACTTGTTTGCAGTTAGAACTGCCTGCAATGACCCTTCCGAAGGTCACGAGTCCTAAATCTGCTAAAAACTTTATTTCACTCACTCTTTACAGCCTGTGTTGTATGGTGACTGGGATCACCCTGAGAGGTTGTTTTCTCCCCCTAAACAGTTTGCCTAGCAAAGTCCTATTGAGGATGGCTATATGAAGAACTGGGCTGTTTGAACAAGATCCTTACAGTCCCTGTAGAAGATGTGCCTATTTTCAAGCACCACACTGACAAGATGTTTTTTTCCCTTAAGAGCCTAGCTGTGCAACATGTGGTCGATTAGAGACCTTCTTGCCTTAGAAGACGAAGTCCAAGACTCTGGTAGCAAAGTCTTCTGCTCCCTCCATTTAGAAAAGTTCCTTTTGTCCTTAACATACCTCGGGCCCAAAACCAAAACAGGACACACCGTTCTTTTGCAATGCCTAGTATTACACACACACACACACGTGCATACATTTGCATACCCCTGGCTGAATTTGCATATCCCTGGCTGAATTTGTTACATGTGGAGCCTTTTTTTAGGTAAACATTTCTTTTAGTTTTCATGTGATTCGGAATAAACTATTAGGCATGAGAGACAAGCACAATCATTAAACAAAGTATATGAATAAAGGAAAATAGGAAAATTGTCCTATTCAAAAGTTTAATCCAATATAACAATTCACAGAGCGCTGTTTGTAGTCACAAATTCCGGTGAGTGCATTACCACAGGGTTTTTTTTCCACATGAGGAGGGGAATCATCTGTTGGGGTTTATGCACAGAAATTTATAACATCGAGTATTAGATGTAATAACTTTGGAACTTTGTTTATACTCCTTATTGAGTGTTTCAGTTCATTTGTTCACATTGCTACATGAGTGTTTTTATTGAGATGGAATTGATGTTACTAGTTTGATCTTCTAAGAGTTACGCTGTAACCAATACACACTTCGTTAAGTCATTACCGCAGTCATTACCGTACCAGTCCCTCGGTATATGTGTGAGAGCTGAAATGGTGAATCATAATAAAACCAAAGATAATTCATATAAATCAAGTAGGTGTGTATCCAGCAGCTTTTATCTATACCTTCTGCAAAGTAATATAATGAGGCAGGTTTTTCTTGGATTTCAACTATTTATCAGCTTGTGAAATAAACATGTTCAAGCAGGTAATGAACATTACCCTATGTTTGTTCAGAGCTACATCAGCTTCAGTACAGTACTGTACAACATACATGCTAATCCTAGCATGCAGATATAAAAATTTGCGGAAAAGATTTTGTTTTTATGACATGAAACTAGATACTAGAAAGTTAGCTTTTAGTTTTACATTTACACTAGAATATTGACAAAAGAAGGCAATTTGACCGTTATGACCAACAAAAACACCTCTCCTCTCCAGCTTTTATAAATTATATTGTGTATGATTGTTCCTTTCCACCTTAGTGCTCAAATGGCTGGTCTGCTGTGTGAGGAGGAGGCTCAAGAGGTTGACAATGTTAAGTACATTGGCTACTGCAAGTACCACTTCAACAAGATGGTGAGAGATCCACAGGTACCTTACTTTGTTTCTCCTTATAAGGTTTGTGTGGTTTTGTAATATTTTGTGCCGAACACCTCCCTCACCTGTCCTCCAGAATCACTGATTTCAGTATTTGTATGCTATTTTATGCCCATTAAAACACACAATATATGCTTTTCTGGTAATTTCTTCTTGGTGATCTTATAAAATCAAAGTTTGCACTAGAAATTGAAGTGTTGGAGTTTTAAACAAGTTAAAGCTGAACTCCAGGCAGATTGGAAAAAAATAACAATGAATGCAGTTACAGTATGTAGACTTTGAAAAATTATAAATGCATTTCCTCTTTCGTTCATTGGACACAACTATGTTTTAGATAATCGCTAATCGAAACCACTTCCCCCCAGTGGTTTCTGCTTTGGTCCTTTTACCCATTACTACCTCCTCAGTTCATTGCAATAAAATGTCTGACCTATTGGATTTCTCAGACTGCAAGGGGGCACAAGCGGGTCCCCGCTTCTTCAGTCCCCTATCTGACCTTCCTCTGTCTGCTTTTGCACTCCCTGAAGAAAAAGACAAAGAAGACAAAGAAGAATGGGCTACTTCCAGTTCCATGGACTCAGCCCAGGAAGAGAACCTATCTCCTGACATCTCTCCTAACCCCTTTGTGACTGACGAAGTACAGTGTACTTCGCCAGCATCGGGGCTGTTTAAACAGACTCTGTCCAAACTTGTAAAGCCGACTATCGGCTTTACAATAGAAGCGATTCTGGCGACTCCGCTGTCGCCAGATCGCTTCAATAGCTTATTTGCACTTCAATAGCTTATTTGGAGTGTAAAGGTGACACTGGGGGTCTTTTGGACCCTCAGCATCATCTTTAAAGAGTACCTGTCACCACCATCTGCTATCACATGGGGGGTCTTGTAAGCCCCTCTATGTGATAGCAATTAAAGTAAAGGGAAAAAAAACAGTTTTTATAATTAACATTAAATAAAATAAATGTAAAAATAATAATCAAACATTTTTTTTGCGTCGCTGCGTAAACATGCGTCGGGTGCGCCTACGTATTAAAACGACGAACGCGCTACACATGTTGGGTATCGCCGCGCATACCGGAGTGAGAACAATAATTCTAGAGCCAGTATTTTTGGGTATCTCTAAACTGATGACCTGTGGGGGCTTTTAAATCGTTGTGTATGGACTTTTTGGGGTACTGACGTTTGTCGCCGTTTCACTGACGCACACAATTTTTAACCTGGGCATGTTGGGTATATTTACTCGTTGTAACCTCATCTTTTATATTTTATTTAAAAAATATATATTTTATTGTGTTTGCGAAATTTGCAACTGCCAACATTTTATTCTATAGGGTATTGGCTTTCAGAAAATATATAATGTTTTCAGTAATTTTTAGGCCTAAAATGTGGAATATAACATGGGTGCAAAAAATGGAAAAAAAAAAGGCCTCAGTCATGAAGTGGTTAAAACTGCCTAAACCTGCCAACCTTGTATGCTTACTTTTACAGCCAGTGTTATATGGTGATTGAGATTACCCTGAAAAATTGTTTACTCCTCCTAAGCAATTTGTTTAGCAATACGCTTTTTACCCGTGTTTAAATTGTACTGTCCCTGTGGTAGACCCTGCTATCTCTTGTGTGAGCAAGACCTAAACAGTCCCTGTTTTCAAGGACCACGTGGGAAATAGGTTAGAAGCCTTTTTTGCACTTGCAGGCCCTACTATGCAACCTGCTGTTGCCACCGTGGTGTGTCAGACCGTATCTGTGTGACAAAATCTATAACTAGGGACCCTAGGCCCCTCTTGACGGACTCCACCACTCTTAAAAGGCTACAGCTCATTCCCCTGGCCTTACGCCAATGTGTTGATGGCCTGACAGATACCCACTAACATATCTCCAGGATGGGTCTCCTGCCTGTCCACATGAGATGGGTCCTCTGGATGGAATGCTGGTCTGCAGAGCATCCTTGCAAGAAGCTCCTAAATCTAGTTTCCTGGCTCCCTCCTCATGTCAGCCTACAACAGGTCAGCTCAACCCTGGTGACCCCTCCATCGGACCACCCGCATAGAGAATAAAGGTGTTACCTGCCCCATGCATCGTGTTCCTTTTCTGTCCTCGCTCCGGTCTAAATGGCTGGAAGTATTGTCTGGCTAAATGGCTGGATTATTGGCCTGTCCAGGTTTAGCCTCTCCCATGGCCTCCTGTCTGGCAGTAAAGCTGCCTTATGAAGGGTGCCTGTGGTGCTAGGAAGACTCTGAGGGGCACAATGGGCCCCTTTATGTCTCTGGTGGGCTCCTGGATTTCTTAGGGCGGCTGGTGCTGTGTGCCTGCAGGGTTCATGGCGGCTTGTGTGGCCGCATGTTGTTTGGCTCCGCCTCCGGCGTCTGAAGTCACTCCCTGTCGCTTGGCTGTGTCTGCGGGCTGGCCGGGAGGGAGGGGCAGGACAGAGTGAGGAGGCGAACGGAGCTGTGTTCCAGTCACCTAGCAACGGGCAGCCGGGAGATTTAAATGAGCCGAGGAAATTCCGGTGCACAGCGATTGCATCCTCACGGCGATTGATTTCTGGCTTGTCTGCTCTACAGGTAGGAGTTTTTCTGCCTTCCCTCTTATGGTCACTGGCTCCGCTAGATCTCCGTGCTTGTTGGAGTTTATGTTGTGCCTTAGAAGTGTGCCTGTAGGGTTTATGCACAAGTGGATATTCCTTGCTAAATGCGATTCTTTTCTCTAGTGCTTCTATTGTCTTATAAGCTGTCATCTCGTTATGCGCCTACCAGGAAAGTCACCGAAGCAGTTGGGGAGGTATGTGTTGATGTGACCTCCTAAAGAAAAAAGGGAGCCTGTCTAAATGGGTATATTGATACTCCTCCAAGGGAAAGAGCCCGCAACGAGACCCTGCGTTATTGTCCGATGATGCGGCAGGACCAGAAGAATCCTGCTATTGCTCCAGCAAGCGATCCTCCCGAAGGCACAAATCTAACAGACATCATCGTTCTCACGAGTCCCCTAAAAGCGGAGTACATTCCAGTCTTCAGGAGAGGTCTTCCCGACAGGGTCCATCACGTGAGGCATCATCTGAGAGAGTTTACTGGTCATGTGGCCCTAAAGCGTTGCCAAAAAAGCTGCTCTGCAAATGCTGTCTTAAAGAGGTGGCGCAGGACAAGGACACAGAGGCCAGGAATGTTCACTCTTTCATCAAGCAGGCAGTCTCACAAGCATTGCGAGGGGGGTGACATTCAACGTCTAGGAGATGGTAGTCAAGCGCTTCGGAGGATGTTCCAGTTTTTGTCTGCTCCAGTTTTGATAAATTCCCCTCATTGTGCTTTTGTGGCTGTGTCCTTAGCCATTGCAGCTGAAGTCGGGGCAATTAGGGCGTATTTGAGTGCCTTCTCCAGCTTTCCTTGTCCTTGGATGTAGAAGGCCCACATAAGGGCCTTGCAGCATCGACTGCTACTATTTCATGCTGGATCCAGCAGGCCATTGTCCGTGCATAAGCTATCAAGCACTGAGGACCACTTTACGGTTATAATGTACTCTAGAAGGATGGTATGTGTATCCTGGGCTTTCCGCCATCAGGTATCAATTTTGCAGGTTTGTAAGGCGACCATTTGATCGTCAGTTCATAGACTCGCCAAGGTGGATGTGGCAGCATCAGCCGATGCTAGTTTTGGGTGCAAAGTTTTGCAGGTTAGTTTGACTGACCTGTATCCTTTTTCTCTTAAGACGGTTAGGCTAGTTTTCCATTCTGTTTTCTGTCTGTCCCATTGTGGCATTGCTTTGGGATGTCCCAGTTGGTGATTATCTAAATCATATTTGTGTCCTCCAGTGAACAAAGGAGAAAAATAGGATTTGTTGTACTTACCATGAAATCCATTCCTCTGTTTTTTGGAAGACAATACACCTAAACCTCTGGCTTGCTGCTGTCTGTATGGGTAAATACTTTAATTTTTGTTAGTTACACCGCTATGCCATTTAACCCAGTTGTTCACAGCTGTGGATGGTGTTTTGGCCACCTGCAGGGGCCGCCCCCTGGGCTGTCTTTTGTTTTTTATTTGCACCTAATGTTCTACTCCTGCAGGTGGCGATATTCCCAGTTGGTGATTATCTAAAGCATAGCTGTGTCCTCCAGTGAACGCAGAGAAAATAATTTTATGGTGAGTACAAAAAATCCTGTTTTTGAGTTCAGCATGTGTAAGTAGCTGTATTTAATATAAGCCTTCTCTAATCCCTTTTACAACAGCATACAGTTGGGTAAAGGGTACGCCAGGACTAGCAGCCAGTCTGGCTCTACAGCGTTGATAGGAGGAGATAGCAGATCTCTCTTCTCCCACTAGTGCTCTGGGCTGTATTTTCAATAGTATTCTGGCCAAGCTGTACTGTTGCTGCAGTGGAGGTTGAGGCTTGGCTGTGCTGTCTGACAAGGACACCTGGATTGTAGACTTGGCTACACAGAATCACAAATCCTTTAACAAGTTGAAAGGTTTCCCTATATGTATTTCAACTCCATAATTAGCTGGCTGCCTGGAGTTCAGTTTTAATAATCTTCTCACCAAAGTACATTTGTAGAGTTTGCATTTTCTTTTGGGTTTTTTTTTGTACAGCATGACAACACCCTCCTGCTTTTTTGACAGCAGCTTTTTAGTAACTTATTGTAAAAAATGTGATTGCCTTTTTTTCTCCCCTTTTAGAAAGTCTCCCGACTCCCTTGTCCCATCATACCTGGGCGCTGCAGCCGGTCAGATTCCCCTTCAATGGAAAAAACCCTCTATTACAAAGAGCGGCAGAAAAAGGTATGTATGTCTTTCTACAAGTTTGGTTATTTTTTTAGATACACCTTTTTCCTATTCTTTATTACTTTCCTAGAGTCATAAGGACCGGGAGCGTGTTCGCCATAGGAAGCACCGTGATTCACCAGGGCACATAACTGCCCCACCCCTACTGCCCATCTCTGTGGAGAAGGTATAACTTTTCTTTCTGTGTGTGTGTGAAACCCCTGTTTCCCATTTCACTTCCCTTCTTCCAAGCTACATGTTCAATAATGCATCAGCATTATTGGAATCATAAAAGGTCTCCTAATGTCTACCCTGTTTTGCTCATGTTTTGAAGTTAGTAAGGTTTATTACAACTCTTGGTAGATTGCACAGAAAAGAAACATCTAAAGGGGTGACAGGGCTGAAATATTTCATACAACTCCTTACAATACATACAATCTTTTGAACATGGATAATAAAGTAGATGTACTATTTTGCTAAATACAATTAAAATAATCGTTACGTTATTTCTGCAAGTATATTGTGTGCAATAATTGCCATTTGATGGTTTAGTGTCCTCTTTACTGTTTTTTCATGGGATTAGTAGAGAGAAAATCTGATTTGTGTCTCTTCCCACTTTAATAACCGCTGATCTACAGTATATGCATTTATCAAAGATTTGCAAATAGCCCTCCGCAAAAAGAGAAGGGGCATCTGAGCAAGGAATACATGGCAGACCTGTTTGTGAATACCCTACCCAATGGAATTTAAAACCCTCAGGAGGTGCTTAGGTCCTTCCAATGGTCAAGGTTCAAGCTTCAGAACTGAAATGCCAGACCCTCTAAAAAGCTTTTCTCAGCATGAAGGCCTGCCTCTACCTGTAGACAACAGGGTAGGGGGCATTTGTTGATGTTTTCAGACTACTGGCTCTGCAACATTTTCAGTGCTTGGGTTTGGGAGGAGGCATTGTATGGGACAGGATACTATTGAAAGGAAGGTGCTGAGAGAGCAGGGTGTCTGAAAATGTGTCCACCTAAACATTGTCTTGTCGTCTTTCCTTTACATTTTTTTTTTAAATGCAGTGCACTGCAGTTCTGTTGTTGCTGGTCTGTCTGTAAATCAGGTACAGGCATAGGGTAATTTTTTCATTTGGTTTTGGGTTTTCTTAGCCTATTGATTGGTTTTAAATTTTTCCTATATAGTGTTAAAGTTGGATTGTCAGTTTTTCTTCCTGGGAAATATGACCCTCTTCCTGGACAGAGCATGTCTTTCCAGTGAGATTCCACTCTCAGCACGCACATTTGTTTTTCCCTCTTGCCCCTGGCACACATACCTTGCTTCATTACATTTATGCTAGCATTGAAATTACCCTTCCAGTACATGGAGCTCACTAGTAATTTTTCCCATTAGCAATGCATGTGCATTAATAGCTCAATGGCAAAATTCCCTAGCACCTGGTCTTGACTGGTGTGTGTGTGTGTTTGTATTAACCTCTCGGCGACCAGTATAAAATATATGTGCGTGTGTATTCTCATTCAGTGGCGGACCTAATGAACAAAGGGTTCTGGTAACGCACTGCACTCAGGACTTAGTAACGCTCTGGACTTAGTAACGCACTGGACTCTGGACTTAGTGCCACACTGGACTCTGGACTTAGTAACGCACTAGACTCTGGACTTAGTAACGCACTGGACTCAGGACTTAGTAACGCCCTGGACTCTGGGCTAGTGTGTCTTAACTAAAGCATAAATAAAGAATGTATAAAAAAGATCTCTGACAGATCAGTTCAGTAAAAGGATTAGTCAGTTTTCTGATTCATTTACATGCCGAGCTTGAGCTACTGAGCTCTGCAAACAAAAGCAAAGGAAACAGAGAACAGCCTGTAAAAAGTAGCTTAACGCGCCACCTGCTTGCCAGGAAGATGCCTATATCATAATTAGGGATGCACCGATACCGGTATTTTGGTGCCGAGTACGAGTACCGATAATTTTTTTCCGGTACTCGCCGATACCAATTACCGAGTAACGGAAGTCCCATTCAGGAAGCCAGGTGGCGTGTAATGACTTGCCACCTGGCTTCCTGATTAGCCGGGCAGCGTGTAAAGATTTGCCACCCGGCTTCCCGATTAACAAAAAAGTCCCCTCTTACCTTAGTATGTGCAGCCTATCATCCCCCGTGGCCTCTCCAGCGCAAACGCGGCCTTCGTCCGGTACCCAGCCGGAGCCGTCTAGCCGGCCAATCAGGAAGCCGGGCGCCGTGTAATAACGCAACACCCTGCTTTCTGATTGGCCGGGAGTCCGGCTCCATGCTCCCTTGTCATGAGATGACGAGGGAGCATGAAGCCAGCTTCCCTGCCAATCAGAAAGCAGGGCGTCGCGTCATTAGACGGCACCCGGCTTCCTTAATGGACGGCTCGGGCTGGGTACCGGACGAAGGCCGCATTCTCGCTGGAGAGGCCCCGGGGGATGACAGGCTACACATACTAAGGTAAGGTAACCTTACCTTACGAGGCCAGCTTCCGGTCGATCGCGAAACCGGGCAGCGTGTAATGACGCGCTGTCCGGTTTCCTGATACTGGAATACTCGTGCTAGGCAGCGGAGCATTTGGGCGAGTACGAGTACTTGCCCAAATACTCGGAATCGGCACCGATATTGATACTAGTATCGGTATCGGTGCATCCTAGCAATTTTTCATGCCTGCTTGACAATAAAAGTAAAAAAAAAATTAAAATGTTTTATTACCATAATTAACAAAATGTATACAAAACCACTTTAATCTACATTTAAGATTGAGTATTCATATGTTTGCCTAAGCCCAGTCATGACTGGATATGTTTTAAATAGTGATCTGGTTCCATGCAGCATGAAATCAGCGCAGACAGTCCAGAGGTCACAAGGTCAGAGTTAAAAGGCAAGAAACCATATGAACACAGAGGTCGCAAAATAGGAAGTGGAAAAAATGCTTCTGGAGCCAGTGGTGCATCCTCTACAGGTATTTTACAACAAATGTTTCTTGGTTATATATGTTAGTGATTGTTATAAAAGCCCCAAAATACATGACTTGTATAGCTGTGTAGTTGCAATAACAAGCTACCTGAAGTTGTCACTCTTTTTTCTGTTGTATTTCCACTTTGAAGTGTGCATTTAAGTTAATTACTGTTTCAACGGCACACTACCTGGACCCACTGCAATGTGTCTCCCTGATTTGATAGATGTCTGTATGTGGCACACATGCTGTGAAAGCATAATTCCCTTTTTCTGTGGGGAAAAAAAGAGACATTGCTGACTGGTCCAATATTTTTTACTTTGTTGGAATCTCTTTGTGAGCACTTCCAACACTGATGAATGATATTGCTTGGAAGTTAACCCATGCATTGCTCAACTGTAAGCTTTACATGTATTGGTCACATATTGTGTACTTTTCTAATTTGATATGAAAGTTTTCAGTATGAATGCTTAAAAAGATGTATTTGCAGTGTCAGTTCCCCAAAACTGACACCCACCAGCTTCTTATATTTCAGAACTCTAGCAGGGAAATTTCCTTTCTGGAGTTCCCAAGAGATAAGAGAAAACAGTGGGTGATAACCTCATCAGCATCCGAAATATCAGATTTGGTGCACTGACTGTTTCAGACATTTGTAAATACTCGACCTTCACTTGCTGTGGGTAGAAGTAGTCTTCTCTCACTACATCTCCCACTGCAGGTAGTGTTTCCTCTCCTCCTGATTTGGTCACTTTCCCCAAGTTGGAAGAACAGGAGGAGGAAGAGGAGGATGATGAAGAAGAGGATGATGATGACGCAGGGAGATCCTCCAGGCCAACACCATCATCTCCTCCAGAACTCACATTCTCCAGCTTTGGTTCCATCATGCGCTTCTCTAGTGAATCCTTAACACATGCCCGACCATGGGACACCTCCTCTGGGGAAGCTAGACAGCAGAAGTGGAGCAGAGATGGTACTGAGCCCCCACGGGAAAAGAAACGCAAGGGCAGCCAGAAAAGTAGACATGGTCCTGGAAGACCCCGGGGGAGCAAGAATAACCCACCACATAGCATGTCCTCTTCCAGTTTGCCTCTTCCTCCACGGCATTACACACACCAATCTGCTCTTCACAGTGTCAGCATGGAGTCGTCCCTGCTATCCTCAGGTAAAGTAATAATACATATGCTTGGGTGTATATCTATGTTTTTTTCCATCCACTTGGCCCTTTTTAGAGCAGTCTGATGGTGAAAACATAAGGTCTTCTGTGAGTGAGTGACTCATTTTTGTACACAACCTGTGCTTTAGATTTAGTTTATGTGTTCTTGTTCATAGTGGGGACATTAGGCCAATGTGGTTTTGTTGTTTTTTCACATCTTTCTTTTATGTACTGGTATTGTGTGACCTTCTCATTTCAGGTATCTACACCAGTAATAAGGACCCCATCTCTGTAAGGACGGCGTGCAGCACCCCAATCCCTTCCAGCATCTTATCTCACCAGACCTCCCTTCCTCCATACAGCAGAGCTTGCTCCATAACCCCTTCTTCCACAGCCTCCACCACACAGGTCCGAAATTAGTGTGATAAAGGACACTAGTTCCAATGCATTTCGTAAGAGTGTAATCTCTGTGTGAAAAGTGCACCAAACATTGGCATACTCAAACTCTTATCTCTATTTTGTTTTCTCCATGCCACTTCAGTAACCTGGATTCTGATCTGGTTTCTGCACTTTACAAATAGATAGCACTCTACGTTAGTTTTCAAATAACCTTATTATTGTTGCAGTCTTTTCAGTCTAGGTAGCGTATGTGTTTATTAAAGATGAGGTCACACAAGCTATCCCATGTGCAATTATTTGCTTAATTGAAACAGTAACATGTATTTTGTTTGCTAAGAGGAAGATGCCTACACAAACATAGCAAAAGTCAATATTGTATGTCCCACAGTCGCATGAACATGGTGGAGTGTGTCTTTTTCTTTCTTTATTTTTGTTTGAGTGTATGTTCATTTGATAATGAAAGAGTGATTCTTGCAGACAGTAATGCCAGGCTGCCTTAATCAGGCCTTACCAGAAACTAGATGTGGTGGCTATATATTTTTTTTTTCTTCTTACTTTTACCGGGTAATCTTGCAAATAACACACCTTATCCTTAGTGTGTCTATGTTTACTGACTCCACTGTATTGATCAAGGGAGTCATGGCTGTCAGCCAGACTGCTCTCTTAATTTAAAACAACAGCTCTTCATCTATTACTCTCCATTACATGGGGGAGGGAGGGCAATAAAGTTGATTACACACGGAGCACATTTTTGAGGCTGTAGGCTGGAAAATCATCGGCCGAACAATGCTTGCAGCCATTCAGCTCCAAGCACTGTTCGTGTATTCTAACAGCGGCGCTAATACAAAGAACACAGTGGGAGATTCGTTCATTCACACTGTTAGTGTGGATGAAGGAAGCTGTCATATTTTTTCGTTCAGCCTGTGAGAAACTAATTCATATTAATTCCAACTACTGTGCTTCCTAAAACACATCAATTTTACATATGCATGCAGCATATTAATGATTTAATTAAAATGTAAACCCACCCCAAAATTAAATGTCAGTTTTAGGTGGAACCAATGGTTCACTGTGGACTTCTTATATTTATTAGGAGCTTCTTTTGTGTAGTCTTTTCATCATAGTCCTAGACTCTATTTTCAATCTGCCTTGAGCCTCATACTAGTTGCTAAAATAGGTGTGTTCCCACTCCGTTGCATTCTCCTTGATATAAATTCAATATCCAGGAGGAACGTAAGACCCCCCCATTCGCAATTGCCACAGTGGATGTGCAGACTTGATCATTTAAATGCACAGACCTCACCACCAGAGTCCTTTTTATTATAGATGAAAATGTAATCTGCATCTGGAAAAACTAAAATAATCAGTTTTGACTGTACAAACTGTTTAAAGCTAAACCGGTTTACATCGTAAGGCTTGTCAGTAAATAATATTTGGTATGGCTTCCACACTTTTATAGATGGTTGCTGTGCCATATTTTCATTATTACATACAGTATATACATTTCTCTGTTGAATAGGCAGTTAGTCAACATCTTTGAAGTGATGAGGCTCCATAGCATAATGCATGTCAATCCAAACACAGTAATTGACATACACTGAGCAATGAAGCACAGAATGCAAATATGAATAAAGGCAAATCTGGTCACCCCAAAGTACCAATGATCATATCTAATTACAAACTGTACATAGAAACACATTTTGTTTTTCTATAAAACTGTTATTGATAACATCGGTTTCTTTCTATACAATTTCAGAAAATTACCGCTAAATTTTCTTTTTTTTAATGTTTATCATAATGTGAGGTTGTTAACCCCTTAAGGATGGAGGCAATTGTCCAAGTTCTGAACATAAACAAAACATAAAATTTAAGCTATATGTCCAACCATAATTTACCTCTTTCACATCAAGTGCACCCACACTTATTATATATTGTTTTTTAGAGGACAAATAAGGCATTCGTTTGACATCAAATATTTATAAATTAACTGTAATTCTATATGAATAAAATCTAGCCAATTATGAGAAATGAAGACATTTTCCTTCTTTCCAAACATGCACACACATTTTATTGGGAATATCATAATACTGATACAATTATGGGGCTTGCCCATTTCAGTCATTATACACGGAATTTTAGCACATTGCATTTCCAGGCCTAGGTCGCCTTTGAGACAGTATGGCAGCCTAGGAAAGAACATTTTTTTATAATAACATACCATTTTTAAATGTAGACAACCCAGAGTATTCTAAATGGGGTATTTTGAATTGTTTTGTGTAGCCACTTTATCACAAATGCTGGCCACCCTTAGACGCTTATGCTTTTATCTGTGCTTTTCACACACATAAATTCCATTTTCACAGGATATTTCATAAGACCTTTACATGTCTTATTGCAATAAAGCTCTGATATTTGTAATTAGCAATGTCTAACAAATAAAACGGTACCCCCATTTACTGGGTATATAGTTTTTGTGGAAAGTTACAGGGCCAAATATATTGCATACCCATTTCAAAATATGGAAATTTGAAACATTGATTTACTGGGTCTAGGTCGCCTTTAAGACAGTATGGCAGCCTAGCCTAACTTTGCAGATAGGTTCCAAAAAGCAACGGGTCAAAAAACAGTTTGGACAAAATACTGTGATCAGAAACTAGGTGAACGGGTAAAAAACTTAAAAAGAGTAAAATTTTAAACACAGTAGAAATCACACCCCAAAAATTGCTGAACAGTATTACTGTACTGGTCAGAGTAATCACAGTTCTAAAACTAATCAGCACTGAAGGGGTTAATTTTTTAAAACTAACATTATTTAAAATTGGTACAATTAAGGAAAAAAAGAAGAAAAAAAACCCCACAACAATTCTGAACAGTACTATTGTTATAAAACTGCGATCAGAAATGAAGGTATTTTTTTTAAAGTTTAGTTTTTTTTAAATGACTTTTGGGACACTTTGTAGCACTGGGACACTTTGTAGCACTAAACTACTTATCTTGCCTCAGATCACGCTGAGGAGAGAGAGAGACGCAGAGGCAGTGCTGACAGCCAATGATTTGAATCGTTGGCTGTCACAATATATCACTGATCGCAGTGACTGCTTGTCACTGCGATCGTGTGACTCAAATTGCAGATTGCCTGTGATGCCAGGCAAGTCCCCACATGGGATCCAGGCGGGTAAGTATAACGGGGGGCTTAGAAGTTAGGACGTTCCATGCCTTCCTAACGTCTTTAAAGCCAACGCTTTCCAGGACGGCATTGAACGTCCTAACGTTGGGAACTGTTTAAAGGGCAGCAGTTAATGCTATGTTTTATTTTTTTGCTTTAACCACTTGCCGTCTGCCCGTAGTAAAATAACGGACGGACGGCACTGCTGCATTGGCGGGTTGCCGTCGCCAGACGGCATTTTATTTCTGCTCGCGCGTGCCCCCTAATGGGCACGCACGGGCAGAAAAGACCCGACCATTGCACACACCCGTTACCGGGTGTTTCACATATAGGCTATCAGCGGCTCCATAGCCCGCCGATCGTCTATATGTGCTCGTTCGCGTCTATTTGGTACCATTATGATATTGAAACGTTTACTTCAATTATCAGCTTATCTCTGAAGTCTATTAGTATTGGTATGTCTTTGCATGGGAAGCCTGTTTAAATTCTCATGCAAATAGTTTTGTGCAGATCACTTGAGTTGCCTTTTTATGACAGTGATTTTCAAGTTTGTTTTTTTTCCCTCGGTCTGTATCTTATATAGGTCTTTTCATTGCCTGGCTCCACATTTAGCATCCCGTCATCTCACATTTTTGGAAGTCCTCTATCCATGCCTCCACTCCTGAGCCAAACTGAAAGCAATAGGACAGGTAACTATATACTTAATTTCCACAGCAGAAATGTTGTTGCTAAACTGTAATTTAGCCTATCCTATCTCCTATGTAATATAATGCGTAGGTTCCCCTTTCACTTAGATATTTTCTCAGGGAATCTGCCTCCTAGTCTTGCATTTAGCTGAACAAGCATGCTTTAGCATTGGCATCTCAGCTTCATCACACAGACTGATCTTTCCTTAACAAAATCCCATCTCCAGCACACAAATAGTTTTTTTCAATGATTTCTTTCCCCAGCACACATTTTTTCCATAGATAGCAACAGATTAAATTGCCTCGATATACGCAATCTGAAGACACCTCTCCCCCTTTAAAAATGCATAAATATCAAGAGAGAAAGGACAATATGGGGGAACCTATGTTTTTGATGAAATAAGTTTTTATCTAATTTATGTATGAGTATGCTAAATAAATCCTGTTTTTGATTTTACTTGTGCAATGACTATGACACCTCATTAAACCCCAATTTTCTCTCTTGGTATCTACACATTGTTTCACTGCCAGAGACCCCTCACTGTGCAGTACACACACTCCTAGCACACAAATTCCATGTTTGATATTCTTTCTACAAACCTTGATCACTGATCCTAGACACTCACAAGTAACTGTGTGAGCAAAATAAAGGAGGCTGATTTATATTTAAGATTTATTTCTGTAGGGCAGGCGTGTGTGTGGATACTGGCCTTTCGTCTGTTTCAAGGGAGAACGCTGCACCACCCCTATGCCTGGGTCACCTTCTACCCGCATGTGTCTGTACACAGGGCAACCTTCTTATCCACAGGTCGTGAGTTTTTGGGGGCACACATAGCTAATCATAGAGGTAGAGATGCCTGGGTGGGGGGGTTCCACAGAACCTGACAACGTTTCTGGTGAGGGTTCTTCCCCTACTGGGGACCCTATCTCTGCCAGTCCCATGCTTTGCTCCCTATCTTCTTCCCTTCTTGCATCAGGGTCTTCTAAACCCTCTAGAACCCCCTCTCCTCCTGGTTTATTGTTTCGAAAGTTGTTTACTGCTGGTATGGCTGATTTAATGGGGAAAATGGCTGACCTCTTTGAGACTTCAAAATGCAGGGTAGAAGATAAAGAAGTCATTGGCACTCCAGTATTCGCTCTTCCAATCCATCTTTATTGACGTTGGAAGGTCATATCGCAGTGAAAAGCTCTGTTTTGGAACCATCTTTGTTCCTTCATCAGGCAAACAAAATGATAACCATATGTGCATACTGTTCTACATATATACATCAGTGTTACACCAGCAAACCAATACAAAAACTTCTCCATCCCACTTCTGATGTAATTATGATGTCATATTTCCGCCATCTCAAATTTAATATTAACTTTAAATCAAAACTGTTCTTATGATAAGGGGTTACAAAGGTTTAATACATATAAATGGATAAAAATAATACCTGAATATTTTTTCTGTATTGATCCTTATATGATCCTCCAGCCTCAGTCAGAGGTGTGGGATGGGTTGCGCTCTCAGCACTGGGTTTGCGTTGCTGATCGTGCCACCCCTCAATGCATGCACTAACCATATCCCCAGAGAATCCAGCGGGCGCATGTGCATTAGCACCCCAGACCAGCACATGCGCAGCAACCCTTTCTACGGACAACTCTTACCGAGGCCCTGAACTTCATAACAACTGTCAGGGTGGTATAATGCACCCAACCAAATTACTGTGGATCAGAGAAAATCCATTAAAAGGTGCACATCATTGTAAATAAAGCATGAACATGACAAATATTGTGTCGGATGTCCTGTGTGTTTGTGTCCTGGTTGCTTCTCCTAGTAAATATTAAAAATGAAAGCATTTTCAGCCAAAGCAGCAATCTCTAAAGGACCAGTACGCATGTGCCCACCTATCGTAGATTTTATGTTATGTAGGAAAACATATGGGTGGACATACAGTATGTTAGTCGTAAACATGCTATAATGCGTATCTCTGGGTTAGGGTCCACCCAATTCATACTTGACTCAATCACATGATATGCTGGTGTAATATGTATATGTGAGACAACCAAAATGATAGTCCAGACCCGATAGCATACAAAAGGGCAACATCCATAAAATGATATCTGCCCAGATATAAGATATTGTGATTCATACGTATGAAACATCCTATAATAAGATAAATTAGTGTTAGGTCTTCAATGACAGACCAATCATTATCAGGACATCCTAATTGGGGGCGGGTGGGAGAGCGTTAGAATGACTGTGTATCCTGTCACCTTGGGTAAAAACATTACTTACAACCCCAGGCTGCCCCATGGGGGAAAAAAAATGTCATAATTCTACATCAAGGCTTTTGACATCCATGGGACAGGCTAGGTAAGTACATGAAAGGTGTTACTGTCCGTTAGGAAGCAGGTAAGAGATAATTAATGTTTAGACTCCTGGGCGAGACAGTATCGAGAGTATATATCCAATATGCGTCTCTATGCAAAAGTCGTTTTTCTCTATTGCCCCCCCACCTAGTGTATGCCTGTGCATGGTCAATGACCATGCCTCTCAATTCATGTATTTTGTGTTTGTGTTCAGCGAAGTGAATGGCCACTGGTTTATCTTTGTCCACCTCCTCGCCGTTAGCTAATTTGCTAATACTGGTTCTAATATTAGGTTGATGCTTCTGGAAGCATCTTTTGAAACGACCAATGGTCTTTCCTAAATAAACAAGGGCACATGGGCATTTAAGTATATATTAGCACAATATTCAGTGTTGCAGTCGAAGTGTCTTCTAATATTGTATCTTTTGCCTCTGTGAGGATGTAGGAAAAGATCAGCAAAGCTGGTCCCCCTTCAGTCTGCACAAATAAAAACTCCAGTGTGTTTCTTTAGTGCTACGTTTGTGCTGTAAAAATTAACATTTGTGCTGCTTTTATTTTTAAGATAATAGCAATTGTTTTTTAAGATGATGACATCACCCGGCCCCCCTATAACAGCAAAAAGACAAGAAATTGGGCTGGTTAGTTAGTGCTACGTTTGTGCTGTAAAAATTAACATTTGTGCTGCTTTTATTTTTAAGATAATAGCAATTGTTTTTTAAGATGATGACATCACCCGGCCCCCCTATAACAGCAAAAAGACAAGAAATTGGGCTGGTTAGTTAGTGCTACGTTTGTGCTGTAAAAATTAACATTTGTGCTGCTTTTATTTTTAAGATAATAGCAATTGTTTTTTAAGATGATGACATCACCCGGCCCCCCTATAACAGCAAAAAGACAAGAAATTGGGCTGGTTAGTTAGTGCCACGTTTGTGCTATTTAAATCTCCATTCTATCTCCTTTCCTTTTTGAGTTAGCAACTATTTATTAAAGGTCACCCAGCCCCCCACAACAGCCAAAAGACATGCAACCAGGCCTACTGTTAACTGTTAACATTTGTGCTCATTTTATTTTTACGATAATAGCAATTGGGTTTTTTTAAGATGATGACCTCACCCAGCCCCCCTACAACAGCAAAAAGACATGAAACTGGACTGGCTGGTTAGTGCTGGATTTTGTGCTGGTTTGTGCTGCTAAAATGTTTATGCCCAAGCATAATGCTGACAAATTGTATTTTTTTCAGATTTAACAAAATGGGGTACAAAGTGTGTGGGGTTTCAGCAAAAAAAAAACTGTTATTAACCATAAAAAACCATAACAGCACAAATAAAAATGTTAGCAGCGCAAACCAGCACTAACCAGCCAGCCCAGTTTAATGTATTTTTTCTGCTGTAGGGGGCTGGGTGATGTCATCATCTTTAAAAAAAAAAAGAATTGCTATTATCGTAAAAATAAAATCGGCACAAATGTTAATTGTTATGGCACAAACCAGCACAAACATGGCACTAACCAGTAGGCCTGGTTGCATGTCTTTTGGCTGTTGTGGGGGGCGGATGGACCTTTGATGGCCATTAATAAATGATTAATAACTCGAAAATGAAAGGAGATAGGATGGAGATTTAAATGGCACAAACGTGGCACTAACCAACCAGCCCACTTTCATGTCTTTTTGCTGTTGTTGGGGGGCTGGGTAAAAAAACAATTGCTATTATCCTAAATATAAAATCAGCACAAGTGTTATTTTTTTACAGCACAAACGTATCACTAAAGAAACACACTGGAGTTTTTATTTGTGCCGATTATAGGGGGGCCAGCTTCACTGAGCTTGTAGGAAATACTTTCCTGTGATTAAGGTATTGTAGCAGCTTGTTTTATGTGATATCTTATATGCAGTTTTCATGTATTTGTTTCTCGGATCAGCCTGGACCAGGTAATCCCTCTGTGTTTTGTTCCGACAATACACCTGTAACGGTGCCGTCCTACCTTGTGTTCTTATTGGCTTGAAGAATATTTATATTTCTCAGGGTAGACTTGTGTATTGTTTGTGATGCATCATTAAATGTCTGTATGAATGGAATTCTCTCATTAGTTTTGTCATATGCCTTTTTATCATCTCTTTCAAATACGTGAGTCAATGCTTTGCCAATGACCCTTGAGGGATAGCCTCTCTATAAGAACTTCTGGTACATAATGTCAACCTGTTGTTGACATGCGTCTTGATTTGAGCAGACTCATATATCTTGTAGAAACTGTAAAATGGGCAAACTGTCAAGGAGATGTTTAGGATGTTAACTGCTGTAATGCAGAATCGTGTTCCTAACTCTGGGTTTGGTGTAGACTGAAGTGTATAGTTTCTGAGCATGCATTGATAAAATGACATCCAGAAAGGCTAAACCAGTGTCGCATATAATTGGATTAAAGACTTGAAGAGATACCATTCAAAAATAGGCACAGGACATTTCTGACAACTAGGTTCAAAGTGTCGTGACCAAAGGTTACAAACTGAAGTTTCACTCCCTGTCTCCTCCTCGACTGCTGTTAGCAAATTGGTCAAGGTCTGCTCTAAGGCAGATGGAGCTCTTTTCTGCTTCAGGTCAGCTCCTTTTTCAGGCAGAACAATTCCAGGAGGTCTTTTTTGAAACTTGTTCACTATCCCCAAGGCCAAGGGTGGGGTGTGCCTTATTCTGAATCTTCAAAAATTCTCCACAGGTTTTTGCAGGTCAATGAGTTCCATATGTAATCTACCTGCTCTGTTACCACCACTTTTCACTCAGGGCGATTTCCTGGCCTGAATGGAGGCATATGTATGCATCCCCATTTTTCCAGCCACCATCACTACTTGCATTTTGCTGTGGACACCCATCATTTTCAGTTGCTTTTCCCTTTGGCCTGTCCAGTGTATTTCTTCTCCCAGAGAAACTTCTGTCTCTCTGTTCTCATGCTCAGTCCTTATGGTCCAAGAGCTGCCTGTCCATCTGCATGAGGTTTGTAGCCTCATTGGAGACAGTTCCCTATACTCCATTTCATTGCAGGCCACTGCAGCTCAGCATTCTGGCTGCGTGGGAAAAACTGGATCTCCCTATCCAACTGTCCAGCAAAGCAAAGCTTGCTCTGGCATGGTGGATATCTAAACAGGAGATAGCAAAATCCTTTCTCCTGATTGCTTGGAAGGTGCTTACGATGGATGCCAGTCTGTCAGGCTGAGGTGGAGTATTTTGGGCACGGGTTTTGCAGCACACTGAAGTACCTTTTTGGTATGCTCTGGGACCCACCTACCTCTATATTTGTGTCTTTTTGGGCAAATATTGGCAGCATGCCAGTCACAAGAAAGCGAACTAGTCAGCATTAAGCCACTGGCAATGCCCGTATGCAGTAACTTTATGGCATGCACTGTCAGTCACATTGTATGACAGTGTCTGGGTTAGTTCACTATGTTACACCTGCAAGAACCCATTTAGACTTTGTCTGTTGAGCTATGTTGATCCACGCAATGACACATTGAAAATAATAATTTTCTATGTGCCCTTTTCCACACCATACATGTGCATTGGTGCACCTTGCGTAAAGATGCAGCATGTCTGCATTTTTATGCAAAACACCGTACTATGTCCACAATCATGAATGAACAGGATGAGATGCAGAGCACTTCATGTTCATTCATAGTTGGGGACACAGTAAACATAATACGTCCTCAACTATTTACAAGTAGTCAGCGATCAGCTGATCGCTGACTGCTTGTAACCCTCTCCATCTTGACTCCCTGTCATGGGAGGCTGAGCCGGTGGCGCGGGCGGAAAGTTTGGTCTCCTTTGACAGCTCACTTCTCCCCCACACCACCCGCTCTACCTCCTGTGACGG